ACACACACACACACACACACATACACACACACAAACACACGCGTGCACACACACACACCACACACACATACACACACACACACACACAAACACACGCGTGCACACAAACACAAACACACACAAACCACACACACACACACACACAAACACATGCCTGCACACAAACACAAACACACACAAACACACACACACTCAAGTCAGTTTAACGCAGCATTTGCAGTTGTTGCTCGTCTAGTTGCTGCATGTCTGTGACCTCTGAACGCTGAGCTCAAACGGTGCAGTGTTTCCTCCCAGAATGCCTCTCTTCAGCCCGTCTCTCCCTGCAGAGATGCTTCCTAACCGCCCCGAGCCAAAGATCCAGCATTCGGCGGTCAGAAAACAACTCAGTTTGTTCTGGCAGGAACAGCCGAGAGTCCGTCTGCGGACGGTTAGTATCCACAGGAGGATCTCAGGAACTGCAGTCTAGGCTCACGTATCCAGATTTTAGAGTATCAGATTAAACTTTGATTCATCATGTTGCTCAATCATAATACAAAAGAAGCGTTATTACGGACTCATATTTTAGTTAAAAACGTCTTAATGCTGGATTACTTTCAGCTTTTGACTTCTCCAGATGTTAACTGATGGACTGGAGTGCTGTGGATTACTTGTGGATTATTGTGATGTTTTTATCAGCTGTTTGGACTCTCATTCTGACGGCACCCATTCACTGCAGAGCATCCATTGCTGAGACACTGATGCAATGCTACATTTCTACAAACCTGATGAAGAAACAAACTCATCCTGATCTCGGATGGCCTGAGGGTGAACGCATTTCCATTTTTGGCTGAACTAGTCCATTTCTTGGCATTTCTCTTGATTTCAAGTCCTGATATGTGAGCTTGTTTCATGCGAGCGTTAGTTTAGAGTATAAACGAGATGTTGATGCTGATAGGAGTGAAGGACTCGAGTCATTAGCAGCACGCTGAGGTTTCTGGACTCAGACATGACTAATGAGTGGTTGATTCTAGACCATCGATAAACAGAAATGTCAGCACTGCAGAAATCATTCAGAATCCTCACAGAAAATGACAGACTGATATTTGAGCTCCGATACCTGCTGCTGGAAAACAAGCACTTCTAACAGAAACCACAACACGTATAATGAGTGAGTGCCCAGTGCATTCAGGGACATGCTACACAGAGTAGAGAGACCACTGAAACACACACACAAACACTCACACACACAACACAAACACACACACACACACACACACACTCACACGCTGCTTTGAATCAATCTGTATTCAGTAAAGCGCTATATGAAAAAACGTGACCTGTACCGGTGAGTGCGTCAGAAGCGTGTCCCGCAGCACTAGTTAGTGGAGGTTAGATGGGTCACTCACCCGGGAGGACGTGCAGGTCTGCGTCTGTGCCGGTGCGAGAGCTGCCGGGGTTCTCTGCTAAGCAGCGGTATGTGGCCGAGTCCGGCGGCTGAACCCTGCTGACCTGCAGAGATCCGGAGGGCAGGATGAGCACCCTGCTGTCAGGGTCAAAGGTCAAGGGCAGGTCCTCCCTGTTCTTCTGCCAGCGCACCACGGGCATGGGCTCGCCCGTCACCTCGCAGCGCAGCAGAGCCGTGTCGCCCAGATGAGCCGAGACCGACTCGGTGGGGACGACCACGCGCAGAGGACCTGAGGGAGAACCACATGACAGAGAGAGAGTTAAAAACAAGAATGCATCGAGATGCGCTGTGCTTACGTTTGTCTGGAGCAGATGCATGGGAGAGAGATTTATTCATTCATTTATTTATTGTTTATTAAACAGGAACAGTACAGAATATCATCAGAGCACAGTATTGAGCAGCAAGTGCTTCTCTCTGATATCTGATAGCTCATTTGTAAAAAAATAAAAATAAAAACAAATGTATGAATAAATAAATAAAAATACAATAAATTAATAAATTAATTTATTTATTAAAAAAATTTAAATAACATGAATTGCCTTTACACCAACTGACAAACAATCTAAAATTTGAAACACAGAGAGAAAAAATGTATGAAAATGAAAATGAAAATGAAAATGAATGAATGGAAGAATAAATCAATTAAAAATAAAATAAATAAATAACTTAATAAAAATTCAAATAAATTGTCGGTACAACAATTGACATTCTAAAATTTAAAACACAGAGAGAAAAAATGAAAAAATAAAAATGAATGAATGAATGGATGAATTAATGAATAACAAATAAAATAAACAAACATATAAATAAATAGTACAAATTAAAATAACAAATTAATTGTCAACAACTAACAAACAATCTAAAATTTAAATCTTGTAGAGAGAAAAAATTATTAAAAAAAATAATAATAATGAATGAATGCATGAATAAATAAATAAAAATAAAAAATAAAAATAAATGATTAAATAATTATTAAAAATGAAAATAAATTAACTGTCAGCACAACAGCAACTGACAAACAATCCAAAATGTAAAACATGTAGAGAGAAAAAAAAATAAAATGAATGAATGAATGGATAAATAAATTAATAAAAAATAAAATAAACAAATAAAATAAATGAATGAATACAAATTAAAATAAATGAATTGTCAGTACAACAACTGGCAAACAATCTAAAGTTAAAAAAACATAGAGATAAGTAAATAAACAAAAAATATTTTTGAAAGAAAGAAAGTCATGTGAATTGTCACGTTTGATTCAGTGTCTTATTTGCTGTTTCTTTGTAATTATTTGTGAAAAACACCAAAGTTTGTTCAGCCTACTAAATGTGTGTGTGTGTACACACACACACACACACACACACACACACGCAGTCTTACAATGTGATGGAGTTCATGAATAGTGTTCTTATGTTAAAGTGATTCTGCTCATAATTAGACACAGACGCTAACCCTAACCTGTGTGTTTACTGTGGACTGTGTATTACAGCAGCTCACATGGGAACCCCAATTATTCCTCAGATTTTTGCCAACAAAATGTGCTGCCGGAGTCTTATCGCACTGATTATTGTTAACATTGTTCCCTAACTGCCTCCAATTACGCTCAGCGGCACGCTAGCAGCCGACGGCCA